CTGTCACTGGAGCTGAGAGCCGGCTTTCTCTCTGAGGCTCGGCTGCTGAAAGCAGGTTTCTGGCCTTTGTTTACCTTCTGTATTTGAAACTTTGTTGCGACTCCAGCTCTGAGATCCCGGCTGACTGAAAACAGGTTACTGGGGTTTTGTTTAGCTTCTATATTTGTTACAATGTTTCAAACTGCAAGCTCAGAGGCCGGCAGCGGCAGGCGGGGAACATTGGAGTCCTCCATCACTGAAGCAAGCAAGCCTCCCTCTTCGCTTCAAGCTGCCTGGCTGCCAGCCACCATCTTGGCTGGCAGTTAATTTGCATATCTTCCTGATTAGCCAATGGGAAGGGTAGCGGCTGTACAGCTAATTACCATGTTTCTCTTTTATTAGATAGGATTCCCTTTGGGGAAAGACACAGGAAACTGATCCATCACTGAGGGGAAAGAAAGTATCTGTGGTAATATCCTAAGCTAAAATTTTCTATGTATTTCATGCATTTTGTCATAAGAAAATGTTATATATATTTGGTATAAAAATATTAATGATTAGTCTTAAAGTTAACTACCATTTACACTATAACTTCTATAGAAAAATGTACTGTGATTTCCAAATATCCAATTAACAAAACTTTCAAGAACATAATCATTCGGAGCGGTCTTTTATGTCAAAGAATGACAGGAAGCTTAAATCAAGTGTGTAACTCTGTAAATCATTCCTGTAACACCTGTAACTGTGGAATAACAGGTAAATTATAATAAAAATGACCAAAATACAGGAAACATACCTTATTCCAGAGAGACTGTCAAAGGCATGAAGATCTAACACATTAGAGAGGTCAACTCTAAAAGAAAGAAAACCAATGTAACAGTGTAAAATTCTATAAAATATATTCAATTCATCCAGAAAAAAAATCTCAAAGACTGTTTTGCCAAAAATGTAGACATAAAGATTTATCAGTATATCATAGTATTTTGGGAAAACAAAAATGACAGGCAAAAAACAAAAAGCTTGTAAAAATAACCTTTTTATAGATTTAATACATAAAATTTTAAAAATTGGTTGAATGGTCTAAGACCCAGGTTACTTGGTTATTGCTTCAATAAGCTATAGTTTCTTTAGTTTGTTGTTTATTTATTTAATATTGTTTAGATTTTTATTGTTTAAAGTATTGCATATGCCCCCCCCCCATTAACCCATTCTAGCCCGTCCCACCACCAGCCCCAGGCATTAGTTTTTTTTAAATTTATTTTCAGTTACCTTTTTAATCCTAAAAATCCATTCATATATATAAATTTCAGTTAAAGAACTGAAACTTTTCAAAGCAGCAGTTTATTACTTAAAATATGAAATGAGAGTAGTGGAACAAATAGAATTTTCATATTTCTTTTACCCCACCTCCCTCCTTCCATGATATATAACAGGTAATATTGTAAGAATGTGAGGAGTCAAACAACCACTGTATTAGAAATATTCACTTCAGGACCCGTATCTATATGCAAATAATGTGGTTTGATTTCATTTCCTTCAGAATGGTGTTGCATATAAACTGAAACTTCCTAGTTAGTGTTCTATCTGCATAAACATTATGTTAGAATTATTTAGTAGTAATTAAGTAAGCCTTATTATGAAAGCAAGTATTTAAATCAGAAGAGACGATCATTTCAAAATTAGCATTAGCTTTGTCTTAAACTCATAAATTTATGAAGACTAGTGATTGAGTTCCAATTTTTACATGAGTCTATTAAACAGTTAAAGATGGTGATTTCTCTATCATCAAAGCTACAATGTAAAGAAAATGACAACCATATAATTAAATTTCAAAATTAGACTCCAGGAACTTGCCAAACATCTATTACATTTTTCACAAGGAAAACCAAACCAAGTCAAGATTTTTAAAAATGCGTAAACATGTAAACTAAACCTTCTCTTTTAACTTACTAGTAGGACTGACTGACCAGCTGTGTTTGCTTTGCTCATTCTCAACAGTCTGCCATATATTCATACTTGTGCCAGCAATACTCTCTGTTAGATTATGGATGCTTATCCTGGCACAAGGCAGACAAATTCTCATCTTATTAAAAGAAGAATACACCAAAGTTCTCTGTTAATAGACAAACAATATTTCAAATTCCAGATATTCTAGATGAGCAGAATTAGGAAAATGATCCAGCAAAAAAATAAATGTTCCACGAAGAAATTTTTTAAATATTGATTTTAGAGAGGAAGGGAGAGGGAGAGATAGAAACATCAATGATGACAGAGAATCATTGATCAGCAACCTTCCGCATGCCCCCCACAAGGGATCAAGCCTGCAACCTGGGCATGTGCCCCGACCAGGCATCAAACCGTGACCTCCTGGTTCATAGGGTGACACTCAACCACTGACCCACACTGGCCGGGCAAAGAAATTTTTTAATATCAATTTATATAAGTGATCAAAGCCTCAACATTAAACATATTCCCTTTTTCACTATCACAACTGAGCAAATATTTATACTGACAGGCGATGAATGAAGTTTCCCCCAAGTTTATTATCTTTACCTTAGGAAATAATTTTAAAGTTTTAAAAAGTTTACACATGCCATTTGTGTGAATATCAAAATTCAAGCCAATTGTGTGAATACCAAAAGTCAGTTTTGTAACACAAGCTTCTAAATAAACTAGTTTCACTAAGACTGTGTCCTTGAGAATACATGTCATAGATTTAGAGATAATTCTGCTTTGTACTCAGATTCTTTTGACATTTCTAATACAGATAGGATCAACACTAGATCTGTACAGGTTAAATTCTATAGAGAATGATAAAATATCAAAGTCTCTCACTGTATTCTCACCAGATTCTCAATGGAGAGTAAAAGAGGAAAAAGTCTAAGCTTCCAGATAAAAGTTACCATAGACTTTCTTCAAATCTATTATCGCCATGAAAAATAAATGATTTCACTCACTAGAAAGCTAACTGCCCTGGCATCAAATGCATTTAATTTCCTCCTTTGAAGATAAAAACATTAGATATTTTTCAAGATATTAATATTAAAAAAATAAAAATAAAGACTAGTACCATCATGTAAAAACTAAATGAGAGAATAAAGCAAACACAAAGGGGGAAGTAAAGAACTTTGAAAGCTCATCTTTTCTCCTAATTTCTTGAACTATCTATGCCAGGAGTTCCTAAGCAATGAAGAACTTTCAATTTTCCCTCTGTCTAGAGTACTTTAAGTAGCTTAAGACCAGGGAAAGGAGAATGACAAGGAAGAGAGCTCTGGCTGTCCAAGGTGGACAGGGAAGTTCAGAGGCTACTCCAGGGATACTGCCTATAGTCATCTTTTCAAAGTTCAGTGAGTATCATGAACAGGGGCCACCAGCCAATTCCAGATCTGTGAATTATCAATACCATCCAATAGCTATACCCTGAACTCTAGAATTAAATTTCCAAATGCTTTCCTCAGTGGCACCTCAAAAGCCTAAAGAACTAAATCACCTTACTAAACCCACTGCTAACATCACCCTACCCCCAAATTGCTCCTTCCTTCCCGTATTTCCTGACTTGGAAGAACTGTGAAATATTCAATCCATTTCCCAAGAGTCATACTGCTTTTACTCCTTCACTAGCTCCTTGCTGCCTACAGGAGAAAATCAAAACTATGTATCATGGCAAAGGTGGTATCACCACCTTTGTGGTAAGTTCTCTATCTCCTCAGTCTTATCTCTTTTTCTCTCTGCAACATAATACCATATGTTCTAGTCATTTTGAAATATTCACTGGTGTCTCAAATATAAAAACTCCCTTTGGCCTAGAATGCCATTGCTACTCTTGTCCATCTGGAAAACTCCTATTCATTTTTTAAGACTCAGGTCAATGATCACCTTCTCAGTCAAAATTTTCTGACTCTTCATCAAGAACAGTTGAGTAATTGTTCTTTATCTTCCTGTTCTTACAGGAACCTGTGTTATCTAATATTCCTGTTACATTAATAATATGATATATTGGTTTTTGTTTGCTTTTGTCTTCCTCAAATGACTGATCACCCTGAAGACCAAGTTTTTGCCTTACCCATTGCTTAAACCCTTAACATGCCACAAAATGCCTAGCAACTGGTAGCATGCTCAATATATAGTTTGTTGAATAGAATAACTTATTATTAAGAAATTGGATTTAGGTTTTCCTCTGTTCAGTCCATTTATATCTCCAAGATTTAAAAAAAGTCCAAAAAAGATAAGAATGGAACTCCTAATCTTTCCCTCCAGCTTCTAAAATTCGGGTGTGGTCCATTAGAATCCCATTTGCCTCAAAATCAACTTAAGACACACCAATAAAACAATGCTACACATCGTTGTCATTCTTTAACTTATACACTCTCTAGGTAAGCTTTTCTTACACATGCTTATAGCAGCTTTACTATGGTCAGTTTTACTACTGTCAGCATTTGTCTATCACAAAATGCTTAAGGGATTAAAAAAATACACACACAGTAACACAAAACTTCCATCAGAGTGATTTCAACTGTTTTGTTAAAAACCAAATCTCTAGTTTCTAAAATGCCTCAAGGAATTTTGGGAAATATCCTATATAATAAAAGGCTAATATGCAAATTGACTCAACGGTGGAAGGACCGGTCGCTATGACACACACTGGACACCAGGGGGCAGACACTCAATGCAGGAGCTGCCTCTTGGTGGTCAGTGCGCTCCCACAGGGGGAGCACTACTCAACCAAAAGCTGGGCTCACAGCTGGCGAGGGCAGTGGCGGTGGTGGGAGCCTCTCCTGCCTCCGCAGCAGCGCTAAGGATGTCTGACTGCCTGCCGGCTTAGGCCTACCAGAAAGCGGGCCTAAGCTGTCAGTTGGACATACCCCAAGGGCTCCTGGACTGTGAGAGGGCGCAGGCCGGGCTGAGGGACACACCCTCCTCACCAAGTGCACAGATCTCGTGCAGTGGGCCTCTAGTTTGATATAAGATTCCTGACCTACTAGTAAGAATTCTTCCATGGAGTTCTGATCTTCACTGAAAAGGATCCTAACCCAACATCATGCTCAACACAAGAAGTGCTACTTCAGAAAGTCCCTAGATTCTCAGATACACTGGCAAACACCTGACACTGAAGAAACAGAAAAAAAGGAGAATTTACTCCCTGTTCATTCATCCATTTGAAGTAACAAAATTTAATTACTGCATGTTTGCTATTCTATAATATAGCAGAACAATGATAGAAAAGTATATAAACACCAAAATCATTATATGATAAACTATTCAAGATGAAACCTTTATACAGGAAAATAAAGATCCTAAATAAAAACCAACATTAAAAAAATTAAGCAAGATAAATCCACAGGCCTTTAAAAAACTGATTTAAGATGTTTGTAAATATGAACCAAATAAATGCTATTACAACAGAACTATAGGTATTTATATGGACATGATTTTTAAAACCTTACTTAAGCATTATATAGTTGTCTGTCATTTTATAAAGAAAGAAACATTAAGGAGAAAAGAAACAGTAAAATGCAATAGGAAGAAGACATACTGAAGAATGCTCACAATATGAGTTAGGTAGGCTATCAGACATTTTCTACAATGGAATTTGAAATGCAGGGAGCACATTTGGTGTATGCTTGTAGAAAACTTACACTCAGGGCATTCTTCTGCCACCTCTGCCAGCAGACCAGTGGCTCCTGAGAATGCATACAAAATTAATTCACCAGCTGCTGACACGCATATAAGCAGCTGCTGCTGTTACTGCCTAACATTTATGGTAGTCTGTCAGCACCTCTAATCTCTGCCCTAGCAGATGAGCCACTCAACTTAGGCGTCTGCTGCACTTTCAAGGACAGATCTTTGAATTAAAAACTAGGTGGCACAGACTGCAAGCTGTGAGTCTCAGAGCTGTGGCTGCATGTTTCTGGGTCTATCAGCTGCTGAGCTATTCTTGCTGAAAAAAATGAGCTTACCGAAATACCCCTGTAAGCATGCAATGGAAAATAAGAGTTCAATCTATAGAAATCCATTTTAGGAATATATTAAGAACACATAATTTTATAAAGTAATGAACATCTGTATAAACATAATGGAAAGAGAGAAGAACCTACAGGAAATGGAAATTAAATTTTTTTTAAAAAAGGAATATATCAGGAACTTAAAGGTTCCATGTATTTTTACATGACAGATGATTTCTGCAACCATGAAACACTAGGAAGGTTTCAAAATATTACAGTGCCCTGGCTGGTGTTGTTCTGTGGTTAGAGCATTGTTCTGCCCACCAAAGGGTCTCGGGTTCGATTTCCAGTCAAGGGCAGGTATGTGGGTTGCAGATTTGATCCCCACCCCAGGCAGGGGCGCCTGTGGGAGGCAACCAATCGAAGTATCTCTCTCAAATGGATATCTCCCTCTCTTCCTTTCTTTCTCTCTCTACCTCCCTATCCATCCATCCCTTCCACTCTCTCTAAAAGTCAATGGAAAAATATCCTCAGGTGAGGATTAACAATAAAAAAGCTATTTAGATATCTCAAAATAAAATAAGATTCTTAATAATATATATTTTTTCCAGATTTCTACACTAGTTACTTTTATAAATAGCTGAATATCCTACGTTTTCCTCTTCATTAGCAAAAGCACAGTTGCACGGTGTTATCATGGCTCTACAGTTTTAATTACAAGAAGGAGAAGCAAATAAATAGATATGCCAAACTAATTTATAAAGAACATTCAAATCAACATTTCTGGATCCTAGTTTTAAAAATGCACATGAGCCCTGGCCAGTGTGGCTCAGCTGGTTGCTGCCATCCCATGTACTGAAGGGTCCAGGGTTCAATTCCCAGTCAGGGCACATAACCAGATTGTGGGTTCAATCCCCAGTCAGCAGTGTACAGGAGGCAAACGATCAATGATTCTCTTTCTCTCTCCCCCTCTAAAAATCAATTTAAAAATACGCAAGTTTTTTTCTTATATTAGATTCAAGTATATTTATCAATTACTTAATATTTATTATTAACTAAATTTATTGTTAATATCACTAATAGTTTTTTACAAGTACCTTGATCTTTGTGTTTCCAAAATTTTTCCCAGTCCATTTATTGATCTGAAATAAATTTAAAAATGAGGAAGAAAAGGTAAAAAATGTTGTTTTTTAAAAAACATACAAGGCACATTATTTCTAAAATATGAAGTAAGCATATACAAATTTTTCTGTAACTAGAAAAAAACAAAATATAGAAAAACAAAACTTACATATTTTATAGTTTAATTATTATTTTCCTTCTAATAATAAGTCAGGTATATTCTACTGAGACATTAAAACATGATATGCAAAAATTTACTGCACAACTCACAGAACGAGGGGCTACTTTGCGATTTATAAAAAGGTCCTTCACTTTAGAAAATGTGATTCATAAATAACCAGTAATTCTAATGTTCTTAAAATAAGTAGATAAGTAAAACATTTTATTGATACCCAACATTCCCCACGCACAGTTTGTGGAAATGACTATACACATGCTAGAATTAAAGCCTACCTCTGAGTGGCTTTGACCCCAGCCTGTCCTCAATACTCACAGTAACACTAAGTCATACATCCAGGTTCTTTTAGAGCAGTGGTTCTCAACCTTCTGGCCCTTTAAATACAGTTCCTCATGTTGTGACCCAACCATAAAATTATTTTCGTTGCTACTTCATAACTGTAATGTTGCTACTGTTATGAATCGTAATGTAAATATCTGATATGCAGGATGGTCTTAGGCAACCCCTGTGAAAGGGTCGTTCGACCACCAAAGGGGTCGCGACCCACAGGTTGAGAACCGCTGTTTTTGAGAATAACTTCTTCAATTCCCAGAGTAGAAACTCTACCCATCCTTTCCTTTCTGATACTAAGATAATAAAATACGGCTCCCATTGCATGGCACCAAAAATACTTAAATCTTTTTCAACATACTGTACACCTGATCTAGTTATCTTTATATCATCAATTCCATTGCCTTTAGTGTTACTTGCTGATGATATTTGCTATTTGTTCAAGCTTGTTCTTATGGGTAAGGCCTCCCGCATACAATGATTCTGAGGCAAGTCTCTCCACTATTTCACCAAGTTCTTAATCTTCTCTTTTGAATGTACTCTGTAAAATGATGGCTCTTTCCTCTCAAATGTTTACCTTCCAACTCCCCAAATCTAATTCTGAGTCAGTTGCAAGTCTGATATACCATGGAGGGTAAACAGCCAAAAGGGTCTTTAACTTCTTAATGTGCTTTGTCCAAATTCTTTTCTGGTATAGCTGTACAGTCCAGGCTGGCAACTATCTGGCTAACAGTCAGTCCTGCAGATCCAGCTTAGTCATTAGGGAAATAGAAAAGCCCAGTAGTAATAATCTCAGATCCAAAAATGTTTGCTACATAGATTGTGTTCTTTTTTTCTAGCAATCACAATGATGCATGGGATTTTGGGAAGAGAACAAAATTTAGGAAATGAGTGTCAAAAGGGGTAAAAGAAGTAATCTTCATTTACTGGTTCATCTTTCTAGACTTTTCAAAATTGTCAACCATCTTTCTATTTCATTTTTTTACTCACTGTACTTTGGAATTACTATATAAATGAAGAAAAAAATCTACAATCTGATAATGGTAAGAGTTAACAAACTCACTATGTGCTGGGCACCGTGCAAAGTTCACCAACATTATCGCATATACCAATCAAACCAACTTATGAGGTACGTATTACTCTTGTTTTACAGACGAGACTTAAAAATAATACAGTGAGAAACAGACCAAGGATTAAAACCCAAGCAGATTCCAAAGTCCATGACCTTAAATACTATGCAATATTATCTGCCCTCCACTTGAAGACATTATTACAGTTTTTCATAGTAAAGTCTGAGAAGCTATTACTATTAAAATAAGACCAAATATGGAGGAAAACATTAATTTTTTTTCTTCTGTAATCATTATCATTGTAGGCAATCTCCTAATGAGTCTTAGCTTCATTGATTCCATTCATAACATATACTATATGAACTGGCACTGACAGATTCAAAATCTGATGTCAGCAGACTGTGTCCACTAATGATGACTAATAATAAAAGCTAGTCAATGTCTTATTTATAGGTGGCATGTATTAGTTTAGGTCTTATAAAACAATTCAAAGTCCCTAAACTCTAACCTCACTTGAAAAGTCCAAGTTACTGTTGGATCATTTAACACATATTTGAGTATCATTCATATTATCCTATATTGATTGGCGTAGGCCATGGATACTGCAGACATTAAAACAAGCTGGAAAACAGGTATGGTCAGTTGACAGTTAAGGAAGACAAAATCAATGAAGGTTCAGGTAAAAGTAAGACCACACAAGTCAGGGAAAACTTCACATAGGAGAGAGGAAGAAAAAGATGGGGAAGGGAGGGGTTTTAGAGAATGAATAAAATTGCTGGGGGAAAAATGAAGAAGAAAAACAGAGAAGATAAAGGAATTCAAGGACTGGCAGAGTGAGAACACAATATGACTAATAAAAGGATTTCACAAGACACATGAGAAAATAAGTAAATAATCATCCTGGATACAGAGAACTTCATGTAAGGAAAAAGTCAAAGAGAAGACAGGAAAAGGAGGATGAAGTCAGAAGACTCTGAATATCAGTCTATGAACTTTGAGCCATGCTCTGTAAGCAATGGGGAATAATTTCATATAGTACTACTTATATAACAGTCAGTCGATAACAATACATGTGATTCTCTAAGGGTACATGGTAAAAATATTTTGTGTAGTACACTTAGAATTGGTAGGTACTTAACACTTATAATTTTGTACCTAATAGTTGTTCTTAATTTGTTTAAATCCTCTTCTGAGACCAAGTCTGTTTTGTTGATGAGGATGATATCTGCCAGAGCAACTTGCCTAAATTAGCAAATAAGAACAGATGTCAAAACAAAAATGTTAAGAAATTAAAAATAAATAGAAACATCTCCTTCAGATCAATTATCAGTTAAAAACTATATAGTACTCTCTATAGTAATTCAATTTACTCCTAACCTATTCTTCAGATAGTAAGAATAAATTATATTCATTACTATATAAATTCAGATTTCACATTATTCATTAAAAATATTTACTAAGTACTTTCACTTGCTACTCTAGAACAAGCCTCAAAAGTCTACAATCAAGGATGATTTACAATTAGGATGATTATCAACTCATGATTTCCTTTGTAAAGAAATGCATAAAATTCAGATTTCCAATATGGCAAAAATAAAGACAGTTTACTTACTAAAATATTCCATGTAATAGTTAACATAATTTTCAAAGAAATACAGTGAATTAAGTTTTTTTTAACATTAAACAGTATTTTAAAAAACTACACTTCAGAAGGTTTATCAGGATCTCTAACAAATATCTATTTCATCACTATGAACTATATTTTTTTGTAAAACAGATATACATAAGTTCAAGTTAAAGAATCCAGTTAACAGAAAGCCAAGTAAGAAAATACCTTACTGTAACAGAAGTTATATATTCTACTAACAGGAATAGTAAAGCTGAGGAGTCTTTAAATTTTCAACTCCTCAGGAAATTTTAATCATGAGACTATCTGTTCCTACTCTAGTTTTGTGCTACCTGGAAGTATAGCTAATAAATAACACAATCAAATTCTCAAAAAGAAATTAATTTTAATTCATGAAAAGAGCAGGTTTCAATAGCATGGATATCACAATCCCTTTTTTTTGTTTAAGTAAATTTTACATGAATGTGCACATTTCAAAATATAAGCAGGTGCAATCTTTAAATTGGAGGTCTTTTATGTTTAATTTTATTTTGGCTTTTATAATATTTGCTATTTTCTAGTTGGTTTATTTACATTTTCTATAATAAAGATAATTTAATAAAGGAAAAAGTTATAAAAACATTTAAGTTCAGTCTAATTTGAATTATAAGTATATACCAAATGAATGCTTAGGCAGGATTACAAAACAACAGAGTACCACACTCCAAAACGATAGGGAATCAATCGCTTGCTTGCAGTCTTCATTATTTATGTCTGGATCATCCATAGCAAACCTCAAGGGAGCCCATTCTTAAACCCAGCAGCATAATTAGTGACTGTCACTTATCCAAAAATCTTTTTCCTATTAGTGAGAATATGCTTAGAGTAGGCAAACTAATTTAAATATTTTAAGTCTAAAGACAAACCAATTAGAAGCATAAAGGTATTTAAACAAAAAATGTTCTAAATGCCAGATTAAACCACATCCATATTGGTTCCTCTGTTGTTCTGAAGTGAGCCAACTTTTTTATAATCACTTTCAATCCCAAAGAAATGGTATAAGAATAAGAAAATATTTTTAAAAGAAAATATTTTTTAAATGTTAACGGTTCCCAAACTCCTCATTAAGAACTCCTATGCCCAGTACTAACTTTATGCTATAATAAAAAAATTTTAAACAAAAGTTTAGTTATCAGACTATTATAAGTAACAATAACTCAACCACAGGAAAAAAAAGATAATAAATTCCTTGACTTATGTTTTTATATTTGTTTTTGGTTTTCACATTCATAATTTTCTCTTTCCAATTAGCCAGTAATCAATATATACTTTAAATATGAATACCTAGAAGCTTCATTGATAAGGCCATCAGGTTTTTCTTCTGTTAAATGCTGAACAAAAACAAAGTTTGAAAAAAGTTACTGTAGTGTAACAAAACCTAATGTTAACACAAAGGATTTTATTCTCCTTTTTCACCTCTGACAAAGACTTTAACAAGCTCTATTACTGAATATACAAATTAGTTCTTCTCCATTGGTAATTTTTGTTCCTACTGTGAACCAGTAGGGTGTTTTTTCTGGGGGGGGAGGGGAGATTAAATTGTATCCCCTGACATCTCTTCTTAAAAGGAATACCCTCCATATTTAAATAAAGTCATAAAAACATAGAACATTATAGTTCAGGTTTTAGGCATTTCCCTTTTTATAAAGTTGTTCTTGTTCTAAATATCCATTACTACTTATTTTAAAAGATAATCATTGAAATTGTACTTTAAACACATCTAATATACTTTCCCTCCATTCCTGTCCACTCTAGAGGACATAATAATAGAATTTGTTAAGGCCTAATATACTTCCCTTAAAAAACTACACTTCAGAAGATTTATCAGGATCTTTAGCAAATATCTTCATCATTATGAATATATGTGTTCTCTGTAAAACAGATATACATAAATTCAAGTTAAAGAACCCAGTTGACAGAATACTAATAACAAAATAGCCCCACTCCCCACCCCAGAATGGTACATTATATTAACTCAGTACTGGGCCCTTCATATACCCTAGAAACAAATGTGCTGAGAGAAGGGCCCAGCCCTAATTCTAGCATAAAAACAGTTTATCATTTAGAAACACTTGAGTGATCTGGCCTCTCCGTGCAACTGTTTATTTTGCTGAGTTTTCCAGAGTCACGCTAGCTCCAAAATAATATTTTGACATTAACTTAGAGGTCCACAAGGTAGTGCTCATCTCTCTGGAGGCAGTTATCATTTTTCCATAATCCTATTTATATCCCCAATGTTATCAATGCCATAAGGTTCCTCTGAAAAAATGTTTCACCTTCATTATCTTAACTCTCAAAAGCTGCCTACTGAGATTAGAGGCAATTAGATTAATATTCTTCATATTTGAATCAAACTTCACAATTATTAAATCCTTTTACACATATTATCTCATTTAGTCTTCATAACAATTATGGGAAAAGGCTATTCTCCTCATTTCATAAAAGAAGAAACTAAATCTAATGCCATAACCATCACAGAACACATTATTATAGGTCTATTTTACTAAAATTGGAAATGAAGTAAAAATTACTAAAATTTATAATAGAAGTAAAATGAACATTATTTTTAAATCTTTGTGAAAGCTTTTTGTCTTATTAAATCAGTCTTGCATACACATCTATCTATAATAATAAAAGCTTAATATGCTAATTAGACTGGACAGCCGAATGACCTTCCTGACAACCTTCGGGATGAAGCCCGAGATGTGAGGGCCAAGGCAAGCTGCTGCGGCTACGAGGGCTGAGCCCCCTGCACAAATTTTGTGCATCAGGCCTCTAGTATGTTAATAATCACATAAGAATATATACATAAAGATGACCTAAAAATTACATTCAAAATTACTTCACCATCTTTGCTCTGGCAGCACATTTTCTAAAAAAATTATTTCATCAAACCAGTTTCACAATTCATGGAGAGGCAGATCATTAAGATATTTGAATAGTTTGAAACCTAAGAGCAAACTATTAATAATTTTATTTAACAGTATTGGTTAAGTCTATAGAGAAAAGTGTTTTTCTTCTAAAAGTTTGCCAAATTCTATTTTGGAGGAAATAAGACTAAACTAAAACTACAGTAATGATGTACTGATTTTCACTTTAGGTACAACGCTATAAATTTAACTGCAGGCCCATTCAAATCATGGAAGTCATAGAACTTGAAGAATATTGTAGCAAAAATTGTTCCTTGCCAAAAGACCAAGTTTACTATTTTTGACAATTATTCTTGCCCTGAGGCTCTAACAAATCCTATCATTGTGTCCTCTAGAGAATAAGGCTATTACCATCCTGGAAAGAGAACCTCACATCCAGGCTTAACAAGTATCTGTTAAATGAATTCTAATTAACACCCTCTATTTGTTGACAGGTACATGAATGTTATTTGAAAAATTTTATATAACATGAAGCAACAAATCCCTTTCTATTCAGTAGTAAATCTATTCAGTAAAGATGTATTTTTAGCAAGTCATCCGTTCCTGAATGATCCTGTAATACTTAAGTTCTTTTAAATTATTTTTGAAAACATCAGATTGTTGACCTTTTGGAGGCTTTGTTTACATATAAATTTGGGGCTATTGGCTGTGAGCTGGTGTAGTATAAAAAAGATTTGGCAAGAAAATTAGAAACCAGTTTTGAATTTCAGACCTAAACAGAATTAATAGTAGTTTCACAAAGTAACTCTTGTTTTTAATGCATTTACTTCTCAAGAAAATTAGAAATCCTCACTCAAAGCTATATTTATTTTACTACCTCTAGGCAGTCCAGAAGTATCACATATAAAAAGGCTACAACTCTCCAAAATAGCCCAGCCAGTGGGTTCCGTGTACTGTGGGTTGTCCATGCACCAAGAGGTCACCCATTGGATTCCTGGTCAGGGCACATGCCCAGGGTTACGGGCTTATTCCCCAGTGAGGGGGCATGCAGGAGGCAGCCAATCAATATTTCTACCTCTCTCCCTCCCTCTCTTTGAAATCAATAAAAACATTAAAAAAAAACCACATCTCTCCAAAATAAAAATCTGCCAACACATACAACTCTGTTAAGAATATGACATGTAATAATCATATTTTAGCCGAAGAGATAAATACCCTGTTCTATGCACATATGAAGGCTATACAAACATAAAGAAATAATAAATGCACACTAACATTTATTTTCTCTGTATATCAGCCTAACATTTCCCTTATGCAACCTCCCACCTCCCCAAGACAACTCTAGAAAATGACTAAAACCAATGTCTGCTATTCAAAAGGACATTCTCTAATATCTGCTTATACACCATTAAGTCAAATGACTTCCATTTATAAGGTTTAAAAAATGGACATTTTGACATTCTATTCTACTGTACAGGCAAGGAAGAAAAAATTTTTTAGCAAAAATATACACACACACACACACACACACCCACACACACACACACACACACACACATATATATACCTCCCCAAAGGAATCCTCATCTCTGCTTAAAGACTGTGGCTTTTGCTTATATTTCAAAAAAGACAAAAAATAATTTTGGTGCTAATTAATCCAACATATCCAAAAGATTAAGGTTCAACCCTATAACTTAAAATACCATAAGAAAGGAACCCTTTTAAATAACACCATTGTAGGCACAACTTCAGTAAGGGTATCCTTTTCTGCAGAAATAGAAACAAGCTGCATTTTTTAAATTTAAAAAAAAGGAAAGAAAACACTGTTGTTGACCAAAGTGGAAATAAATCTAGTGTCAAAGATGTCAGATGACATTAAAAAAAAAAAAAAAGCAGCAGGCATTTCTTTCCAATGGATCGGTTATAAATCTAACACTATTTTAGCTTTTAAAAAACGATATTGCATAATGTCAGTCTACTTATTTTGCTGGTCTTTTCCAAGCCAAACTGTTTTCTGTCTGAATTGTTTCAACAGCTTGTGCAATATGACAAAAGAACCAACAAGAAACCTCTTCCTTGACCTTTTCTCTGTAACTTCATTCATTGATTTTATTGCATTAAATGCTGTCACATTTGTAGAACTGAAAAGAACAATGTCAGTAGCCTCGGTGTCAAGTCCTAAGAATAGAGAGCTGTCATTGAAGTTGTCCAATTCTTTGCCCATGATTAAAAAATGAATATTTCAGATCAATGGGTGACAATCCCATTAGGGTGATAGCCCATGATATCAATTACCACTTCAGTTTCAATTTGGCTGGCTGGCCACAGGGTACCATTTTTCAGCTTTACTTGTGATGGGCTGGCTCTGTGAAGCATGACACCCTTAAATTGCTGCCCATTATCCAAGTGTCATTACTTGTACTGCTTCAGAATTCTCTGAATCACAAGCAGCTACTGAGGTCAAGCTTTGCAACCCGAGGAATTGGACAAGTTGGCAAATTCTTTATATAAAGGAAAAGTTATTTATCTGGCATCTGACTTAGAAAATCTAAAGTTTCCATTATCCTGACAGTATGTCAGTTTTATGTAGGTATATTGATTTAATAATTTAAGAGGTTTTATCAAGGTGGCAGGGGGTTAAACGTTTACTGTGTTTGCATTATTCAGAATGCTGCTTTGATTTTCTGGCCTCCATCACACCGATAATAGATTCTACTTAACTCCTCTCCATATCCAAATATACACATAAAATTATTCTTATAATCATAAATACATAAAGAGTTTGACTTTAGGTATGGCACTTTAAGTCTATCAATAAAACAATTAAATGTTAACTGCTATCTATCCCATAAAATCCCAAATTTGGCTAAAAATTTATATAGGAAATGAATTTAAACATGCCAGAAATAATCATTCAGAATGAAGAATTTGAGGGTTGGCTTTTTTTTTTTATTTCTTCATCAACGTTTTGCTAGAAATGTTAGATTCCAGAACAGTCAGAATTTTTCTGAGTAAAACTGTAATATCTGGGATCTTACTTTGATTCTTAGGACTATTATTAATAAATTTGGACTTAAAAATCTAAAAAGGAATTATCTCCCAAACTTCTCAAATTAGGGTGCTCTACCCCTGAGGGAATTGAAGAGCCAGAGAAAGGGTATTGATAACCATTTGATAAGACTGCCATAGATTTCTAGAGCATCATTTTAATAAAGGTTTGGAAGAAAAACAAATTTTTCAAATTAACATGTTTAGATATATTGTAGGACAGAATACAGAAAACAGACATAAATTGTTAAACGTTAAATTTAAACTTTTAAAAAATTATTATACTGGGCACTATCCATATCCCCAGATTGGAACTGTGAGATGGAGAATAACTTTATTCTCTTCTTTCACTTGGAAGGTTGAGAAACATGATTTTACTTTATGTAACAACATACTTTTTAAAATCTTTTTTTTTTTTTTTTTACATTTTGATAGACTACATGAAAAAAATTTTTTTTTGCCTTTTTTTAAATTGCTTAAAGTATTACAAAGATTACTTTTTAAAATCTTGCTAAGTGCGTTTTATAAATTGAAGCCCATTAACGTGCATCTGAGGACCTTGGTGGTACCAAAAACATTCAGAGGAGGATGCCTTTTAATGAAGAGCTGCTCTTCACTAAAACTATGTATAAATCCTGGTTTCTTGAAAATAGGGTGAAGCAGTATTGTTTTTTAAAGCTCAATTACCTACAGCATTGCAGTTTAACAAGAAAAATAAGCTCTCATATGCTTTATCAAGCTCAGTTTCCTCTATCAATCAGAAAAACTTATCAACATTGGGGTTGAACCCTACTGAGGAGTTATACACACCCAAACTTTATCCTGTAATATCCTTATTACAAAATATTATACCTCCAACTTTTATCACATCAAGCCAAAGTAATAGAAAATATTTAATTCAAAAGCACAAAATAATAATTTAAAAACACACAAATTTTATCTATTGTTTGGGATACTTAAAAATAAAAAAGATTTTGTCAAGGAAATTTTCAAACAGACACAAATGCAGAGAAAATAATATAATCAATGCCCACATACCCAGCTCTTAACAAATAATTAGCAACTCCTAGCAACCTTTCAACTTACTTTTAATCCATATTTTGAGTCCACAACAGTTATGATACCTATAAAGAATAAATCATTTAATCACCTTTATACTTGAGAATAAAAATTAAAACTAATCTATTTCAGCATATAAATGTGACTCAATAAAGTATATTTTTCTCTTGCCAAGGCTGCAATTTAATTCAATTCCATTAATAAGTGCATGCATTTTCAAATGTGTACTGAGTCTCCAGCACTATTTTAAGGTATTAGACAGAATATAAAATAAATAAAATTTTTAAATTAAATAAACAAGCTTTTTAGCTTATAATCCAAAATATTATGAGACAAATTTTAATTTCATCATATAAAGTAAAATGTAACAAATTATACAAGACAGGTTATTTCTAGTTTATTTTCACATAATCAAATTTGAGAATCTTAACATTTAAATTATTGTTTAATAAACCTGAGATGTCTTAGGATATCTTACCCCTATAATCTCTCACTAAATCTAACTCACACAAATGTTATACATAATATGAGCCTAAATCTCCAAATGATCAGTTAGTTTGACAATCTCTGAATTTATATGCTAGATAACTTTTTCATAGGATAACAGTAGAATGAATTTGTTGATGCCTAAATAATTCAACCAGCTGTATGCCACAAATATTAGAGCCAAATAACAGGGTCTAGCTTCAATGATTCTTAAATGATTTCACCGCTTAGTCTATGAAAGACCTGGTTTAAAAAAAGGTGAAGAGATGTGGGGAAAGGGGTAGGACACAACAGAGGAGAGGCAGACAACACATAATAAGACATAAATCAAACAACAGAGGATATAGGAAATCAACCTAGTATTTTGAAAGGAAACTCTTAGTCGAAGCACTAAATTGGGAGTTGAGATTAAGATCTGACATCCAAAAAAATAAAATGAAATAAAAAATAAACAAAATATCTGACATCTAATTCTACCATTGTCTGGGGCATTAGAATTTGTATGAACAAAGACTTTCTTCATCATCAAACTAAACAAGTTTAAAAAGAGTAAGAATGTAAGGAATTAAAATCACAACATGAAAGAACAAAAATCATCTTAACCATACAATATTTTACTTGAAAACAAAACAAAATTCTTATTTAAACTTACCATCAAGATAAATATCAACCCCTAATTCATCATCAATCCAAAACATAGAAGCTACAGCACCTGAAAATATAAATAGTCATCAACTAAAAATATTTCTCCACACTGAGAAACACAATTCTATCTGTAATGTTTTAATTTGCCCCAACAAAATAAGCGGGCAAACACATACACAAATTAAATATGGGTTTCCAATCTTATGGGAATTATAGTGATAGAACCTTTTACTATCTATATCCATTTCTTCCCCTCTCCCTTTACTAGTATCTTAAAAAACAATAGACCAACTTTTATCAAATAATAAACCCAACACCAAGCTTCTAGCAATGATATAATAATTTACCAACAGATATTATCAAATAATTTGAGCAATATGGCTGTGTGCACAAAGAACGTATTTTTATTTTGTCTCTCCTGAAAATAATAATCATACAGTTCAAAAATACTAAATTATATCTCTAAAGGAAAGCAAAAGAAAACATAGATAATTCCTAAATCACTTGTCAAAAAAACAATATTTGTAAGTTCCATAGAAGAAAAAGAACAACAAGAAATCCTTACACTATTTATTTAATACTGATATAAAATCTGGGTTTGAGGAAAAATAATTTCTAAATAAGAAATTAAAACTTGTTTTTAACAGAAACTGGTTCAGTACCAATCCACACACCCTGATTAGTTTGCCACAACACAAGAAAAAGAAAATTGACAGCAAAGAAAGTATTTGATCTTTCAAAGCATCACAGGTCCAGTTAGTGACAGGGCTGTCTAAAAGAATGAGTACTGGGGGAAAACAAGGATAACCGAACTTGTTCCAATGTCTAAAACTGTCCACCTACCCTGACGAGATGTGGTCCCCCAAGCATCACTCTGTGTCAACAATGAAATACCTGTCAGCTGTTTACAATGATTACTCATGCAAGATATAGCAAGGGCCCCAAGATCTAATGGTTTCCTGATACCTATTGATTTTTTCCCCAAAAACTTAATAGTTTTCCAATTTGACTGAAATAGGATTTGTGAGTAACAGGGGCTGAATCAATGTCTGTCCCTTTCAAGGAAATTACTTTACCATGACAATTATTTAGCTTAGAACTGGAGAATGTCAGTCTCCTAAATGGGAAACAACTGAATTGCCAATACAAATTTTCTTCACTTACTTGGCTAACAACATGATTTTAATTAATGAGGGGGAAAAAAGTAAGTCTATTGTGAGTATCACTACTCCAAACAATAAATCATAAAAAAGTATTAATTTTTTCAACTTAGTATAATTCCTAACATTATACATAAATCATCTTCATTTTTAAAAAATTCACTAATTTCTATTCAGATAGCTTATAAGTCCTCGATAGTTAGGCTCTCCCTAGTGTTAAGTTGAACTACAAGAATGTATTAGACTCGCAGCCGTGGGCAAACTACGGCCCGCAGGCCAGATCCGGCCCGTTTGAAATGAATAAAACTAAAAAAAAAAAAGACCGTACCCTTTTATGTAATGATGTTTACTTTGAATTTATATTAGTTCACACAAACACTCCATCCATGCTTTTGTTCCGGCCCTCCGGTCCAGTTTAAGAACCCATTGTGGTTTGCCCACCCCTATATTAGAGCTTTTAATAAAAATCGGATGGGTATCTGTGGTATAATACTTACCAGGCTACACAAGAAAGAACTATTTCAAATTTAGATGCAGGAGTTTAGGAGAAGAAGAGATGAGAGAATGAAGTTAGTCAGTGGTTCTCAAACCAGAGTGATTTTTCTCCCCCAGGGAACATTTGGCAATGTCTGGAGATATTTTTAGTTGTCTTTTCTAGGGTACTGCTACTGGCATGTAGTGGGTAGAAACCAGGAATGCTATTAAACATCCTACAATGCACAAGACAGTCTCCTACAACAAAGAATCATCTAGCCCAAAATGTCATTTGTGCAAAGGTTAAGAAATCCTGATTTAGATTATAGAATCTCCCTTTTCAAAACCTAACAAAATGAAAAATAAGATAAAAATTTAAAAATCAGATTTTGGCAGCAGCAAATAAATACACAACCTCCTGCCCTAAGTTTTGAAGAGTGGTGGTTAAAATAAGAAACAGAAAGTTCTATGTGACTTATGATAGTTCTTAATTCTACTCCCACACCCAGTAAGAGGTTATAAGGAACTAGTTTACAAAGTCCTAACACTTAACAGAAATAGCTTTCAAAATGACAAGAAAAACTGAAGGAGGAATAAGCAATATGGAAAAAGTCAACAACAAAAAATTTCAAAGGTAAAAGTTTCCTGTCATCTGCACATTTGTGGGGGAGGGAGTCACTTTCTAGGGCTCAGAGTAAAATGAAGTGAAAGGTCTTAAGCTCAAGGATGTCCCCACACAAGGTATGCGACATATACTCATGAGTAATTAGAGCAAACCCAGGAGGGGGGTGCACTTGGATAAATGGTGATGGACAGAGACTTGACTTGGGAATACCGTGTACAGATGAAGTGTTACAGAACTGTCCATCTGAAACCTGTAAAATTTTATTAACCAGCACCACCCAAATAAATTTAATAAAAAATTGAGTGGATAAATAAATTGTGGTATATTATTCACTAATATATTGGAATTCAGCAATGCAAGGAATAAAAATTTTTTTAAAAGCACTTGGATTTCCAGAGAGCTGAGCCTAAAAGTCACGTTGTCCATCTAGCACTCTCAGTCTCCCCTTCCCCCCTACTCCGAACAATACCCAGTTTTCAAACTGGAGCTCAGGAGAAAAAAAAACAAATGTAAGTAAAATGGGTAGAGTATATTACTGAACTTCAAAAATTACATTTTGCCCTAACCGGTTTGGCTCAATGGATAGAGCGTCGGCCTGCGGGCTCAAGGGTCCCAGGTTCGATTCCAGTCAAGAGCATGTACCTTGGTTGCAGGCACATACCCAGTAGGGAGTGTGCAGGAGGCAGCTGATCGATGTTTCTCTCTCATCGATGTTTCTAACTCTCTATCCCTCTCCCTTCCTCTCTGTAAGAAATCAATAAAATGTTTTTTTAAAAATTACATTTTTCAGGCATTTTGGATGAAAAAGCAAGTCACTTTCAAGGAGGCAGAAAAAAAACTCAGACTTTTCTACAGCAACATTCATTGCCCCAATATAATAAAATAATGACCAGAAAGTTCTAATGAAAATTTTCCCTAAAAATATTGCCTTTAGCCAAGTAGTCTTTTGAGAATAAAACAACAGGCAGACATTCTCAAACATTGAAGGAAACAACAAGCGTTGAAACTCAAAAAATAGAGCATTGACAAATCCTTCCTCATGAAATAAAAAGAAAATTCTGTACAAGGAGATTCAACCAATCAAAAAAATACTGAGATTTTGGAGCTACATTTGCTAAGTTCTGAGGAAAAAAATTTGTGATCTGAAAATCTTGAACCTAGCCAAGTAATCCTTCAAGTAGAAAAACAAAACACAAGTATTCTCAGGCAATTAAGTATGCAAAAACTCAGGTTATACAGCACCTATAGCTTGAAAACATAACCTGACCATGAAATTCAGTCAATCAAGAGAATGATCAACTAAGGAATGAGAAGCCACAATACTGGTAATGAGAACTAAAACTGCTTAAAAAGAAAACTAAATAAAGTAGAACAGAATGTAAATATTAGAAACCTTGACAACATAGCACAGAATACAATAAACCTAAACCAGGAGGTGGGAAAAAGTTGAAGGGTATAATTCCCTCATCTTTTATTCCAGAGAGCCAATAGATAATGCTCTCAAAATTGAAATGTGTAGTTTAAAAAACAACTTGTCCAATTTGTTTGTGTTCTTTAAAATCTTTTCCTTTTTACTTAATTCACATCTTTTGCAATCAAGAAGCATTTACCTGATATTCAGCAATTCCTTCACTTCTTTTAAATTCAAGTAAAACTAAATAATCCTACATAATAAAAGGCTAATATGCAAATTGCCCCCTCGACCGGGAGTTTGTCCAGGGGGCGGGGCCATCCCTCCAACTACCCACAGACCCTCCCCCCGAAAGGCCCCTCCCCCAAATGGCCCCACTCACCCCAATCCGGGGGGGGGCCAGCTGGACCCCATCCGTGCACGAGTTCGTGCACTGAGCCTCTAGTTATTTCAGAATAGCACAAGGAATGAGATCCCATTTTATAAAATATTTCTGCATATTTATACAGTTTTCAGAAGTGCATAGAACAGGGCTTCCTAGACTTATGAATTTACTAGAGGCACAGTGCACGAAATTGTGCATGGGTGGGGTCCTTAGGCCTGGCTGGCGATCAGGGCCGATCAGATTTCCCACCTCCCCGCCCCTTCCTTCCTTCGCCGCCCACGAGCTGCCACCGTGCAATTCCCCACTTCCCCCCTCCTCCTTCCCTCACCACTCACATCTGCTGCCACCCACCCCCGGTTCCCTGGCCCCAATTGGGCAATCAGGGCCTGCTGGCCAGGGGAGGGACCAGGAGGTTGGCCGGCAAGCCCCACCCTGATCTGGGGTGGGGGGGCAATCAGGGGCATGTCCAGCTGGGGGTAGGGGCCGTGGGAAGTTTGGGGGTTCAATCAGGGTCCTGATCAGGCCAGTTGGCTGCTGCAGTGCATTCCGGTCATTCCAGGTTTTTCTGGTCGCTTGGCTTTTATAAATATAGATAAGAATCACCTGGAGGTTGCTAGGCCCCACCCTTAGAGATTCTGAATCAGTAGATCTGTGATGGGGTTCAAGAATCTGCTTTTTGGCCCTAACTGGTTTGGCTCAGTGGGTAGAGCATTAGCCTGCGGACTGAAGGGTCCCAGGTTTGATTCTAGTCCAGAGCACATGCCCTGGTTGCATGCTTGATCCCCAGTAGGGGGTGTGCAGGAGGCAGCCAATCAATGATTCTCTCTCATCATTGATGTTTCTGTCTCTCCCTCTTCCTTCCTCTCTGAAATCAATAAAAATATCTATATATAGAAAACTCTAATATGCAAATAGACCGAACGGCGGAACAACCGGTCACTATGACGTGCGCTGATCACCAGGGGGCATGTGTAGAACATGGCAGGCATCGGCAGCAGGCGGCAGAGCGTGGAACATGGCGGGCATTGGCCTTAGTGAGATGGTGGAGCAGGTGAACTGGGGCGCCAGACCAAAATGGGGCGCCGGTCACTGTCATCAGGGAGAGCCTCTGGTGGTTACTGAAAATTCTTTGCTCCCACGTGCTGCAGTCCTGCCCGGCGCTCGCACCTGCTGCCAGTGCCTGCCCCGCTTGCACCAGTTGCCAGCGCTGGAGCCATTGCTCGCACTCGTTGCCAGCGCCCCGCACTGGCCCCGATCGTTCAGCGCTGTCAGCGGGTGGGAGCAGCGGCTGCCGGCCCTGATCATCCCTCAGGGCTTCTCCCCCCCCCCCTGCTCCTGAGGGGCAATTGGGGCCAGCAGCCGCTTCTCACACCAGCTGCTGGTGATGGCCCCGCTCGCACCCGCTGCTGGCGCCAACCCCAATCGCTCAGTGCTGTCAGCAGGTGGGCTGCGGCGGGAGGGGCTGGGCAGGGGCGCGGAGGATGGGCCGAGACCTGCCCCCGTGCCCACTGCAGCCTTGGGGCCCAGTTCCTTTCAAGGTGTATGAATTCGTGCACTGGACTCCTAGTATTAAATAAAAAAAAGAATCTGCTCCTTTCACAAACTCCTAACTGAGGCCAATACTATCATTCAACCATAGTGAGTAGCTCGGCACCGAGAAATCCTAGGAATGAAATTTACCTACTTGAATTTCAATGTACTGAAACACAGGATGATTTTATTTTAAACTTCATATTTTCTTAGGTATTCTTTAATTTTTAAAAATAATGAATGTTTAATTTTTACCCAAAGAATAAAAATTATTATTCTAAAAAAAAGTTAGAAGAAACATTAACCCATTTATATCTATAATTTGTACAAAAGTTTTATCTGAGATTTTTAACTTTTCTTTCTTCCTCTGAAAAGCTGAATGATGTTTTATCAAACTCATCTACTCTCAAAGGAAAGTTACAAGAGGCCCTAGCTGGTTTGGCTCAGTGGGTAGAGCATCAGCCTATGGACTGAAGGTCCTGGGTTCAATTCCAGTCAAGGGCACATGCCCATGTTGCGGGTTCAATCCCCAGTAGGGAGCATGCAGGAGGCAGTCAATCAATGATTCTCTCTCATCATTGATGTTTCTGTCTCTCACTCCCTTCCTCTTCCTCTTTGAAATCAATAAAAATATTTTGTAAAAACATGTTTTTAAAAGTATATTTTAAAAATAAAAGAATGTCACATAGACCTAGTTTTCAAAAAAAAAAGTTACAAGTTTTTCTAGTGTTACAATGAAAGATACTGATATTTGCTATTTTAAAAAGAGGCATATATTTTCCTATCTTTCTAGATTTAAGTAAATTTAATATTTAACACTAATGTAATAATTCAAGTTGTATCATTGGTCAAACCTATTGGAAATGTATGAAATGTATAAAAAACACAGGCCTTCCATAAGGACCAAAACAGCCCATTCAATACTAGTTTGAAAACATGAGGGCAATGTTATTATATAATACTTCTAAGTATAATGCCATTTATTACGTTTGAACCTTCAGTATACTACAATATTTCTTTTAAATAATTATGACCCTTTTAATAAATTATCCCCAAACCTTACTTTAATATAGTTTTATGGTCCAATGCCATAGATCCAGATCAAAAAGAAATAATGGTATAGATCAGACTTTCAAAACAAAATGGTATGAGTTGGACTTGGAAAAGGTTCTGCAAAGTAGGAATAAAAATGTTACCTAAAAGTTATTTGGGAACCCTGGCCGGTGTGGCTCAGTTGGTTGGAGCATCATCTTATACATTGAAAGACTGCCAGTTAGATTCCTGGGCAGGGCACATACCTAGGTTGCTGGTTCGATCCTAGGTCAGGTGCGTATGGGAGGCAACAAATCAATGTTTCTCTCTCACATTGATGTTTCTCTCTCTCTCTCTAAAAAAATAAAACATATATATTTTTAAAAAGTTATTTGGGTAAGAAGGAAATAAACCCACTGACAGAAACAGGTAGACTTTGTGTAGCAGCTTTCAATAGGGAAGTTTATATATAATTCCATTCAAAGGTAAAAATTTCATGAATAACCAATCTATACCAGGAGAAAGGCTTGGTTTAACTCTACACCTTATTAATAGTATTAGAGACCCGATGCACGAAATTCCTGTAAGAATAGGCCTTCCTTCCCCCGCTGCCAGCACTGGCTTCCCTCTGGCACCCAGGACCCAGACTGGCTTCCCTCTGGTCGCCTGCCGGCACCCGGGACCCGGGCTGGCTTCCCTCCGGCTGCCCACCAGCACCCAGAACCCAAGCTTCCCTTTGGCCCTGGCTTCATCTGGAAGGATGTCCGGAATGATGTCCGGTCTAATTAGCATATTACCCTTTTATTATTATGGATTTACCCCCAAAATTATTTTAAGTTTAGTAGCAGAAAAACAAAATGCTAACAATAATTTATAGGAATAAGTATTGTGAAAATTAGAATCCAAAAGCTCTTGAGTAGCTACAAATGACCCTCTAAGAAAACTGGATTGGAAATAATCAGAAATACTAGTAAGATCTTGCGAGGGTATAACTAATCAAATATAAACTTAAAAGTAAAATGATTCTATTTTTCCTAAATTTCCATATTTTTAACAATTTTTGTTTCTACTAAAAACCCTGAAACAATCAATAAAACTTCAAATTCTATTTTCAGATTAAAAGTACTAAGTACTTTGATTGTGATTCATCTTCTAAAGAACATGACAACACATATTTTTCCTCTTAACCAAAAAAATGTTTTTAAATCTAGAATAAAGCTTTAAAACTCATTTTAGAGATTTCTCTAGTATATTTATTTTAAAATATTTAAGAACTATATTATGGTTACTAATAATACTGTTTCTTACCAGGATCTGCTAATCCCGTGGTCTCTAACAGTATGTAATCAAATTTCCCCTTCTTCTGCATCAAATTCTCAATAGCTCTAAGACCATTGTCCCTGGAGAATACCAAAATATACTATTAGGTATTGGCCTAAATATTTTAAAGCAATCATTACAAAAATTAAAAAATATATTCAGCAATCTGAGACAAAAATATCTTTAGGCATGTGAAAATTTAACTCACTCCCAAACTTCTAACAAAATGTCCATCCAATATTTACCAGTGAAGGGAAAAAATAGATGCATATACACTGATAAATAAAAAGAAATCAAATACATGATAAGTTAATACTTAATTTTACTAAAATTAAAAGCAGAGGAAATGTTTGTTATACCTGACTATAAAATAAGTCAGAATCTATTATTTTTATATCTTTTGAAAAAAGTCAACATCCAAAATAATAATAAATTTGTGAATTACAGTAGTTTAATATAACAGCTAGAAGGATACTACTAGTAAATACCATTTATCTCTGTTTTAAATTAGAGTACCAGGTTTTTTTCCTTATAACATAAAAAGTACAAGAAAATAATTAATAGATGCATTTTGGTTGTTTAAGAAAATCTATTATGACTTTAGCCTTGTTAATACATTTGACTCAAAGTCAAACACCTAAGATAGTAAATGATGTAGAAGAAATTTAATTCACTAGAATATACAAAACTCACAGTGCAGTTGTTAATTTTCCTAATTCACTCAACAAATACTTGAGTGACTGCTATGTGTCCTTTTCTAAGATCTGTGGTATATTAGTGAATAAAATAGATAGTCCTTGGAAAGAACTATAACTGGTGGAAAATAATGTGAGGATTTTCTCTTTTTTTTAAATAGTCATTCATTTTTGTTTTTAGAGGATGCAGTCTTGGAACAAAGACCAATGACTTATTAAACTCAGGCCATTTTTCACAGATAAAATGAGACTTTCATGCACCACAGAGATTAAATAAACCCTGATATCAAAAAAAAACTCAATAAAAGGACCAAAGTATTAGAGCATGTAGAAAAAGAAATAAGATAGCAAGAAACACTTTAAGTCTATTTTCTATTTGAAAATACAATGAAGCAGACTGTGTAAATTCAGTAAAATTACACAAGAAAATCAAAGCTAGAAATATAATCAGTTAACATTTACAGTAAACCAACAAGCATACTGTAAACACATTCCTCACTTTACTGAACAGCACAGGCAACCATTTCTAAGTTCCAGCCATTCTTCGTAGAGCTCTCCACCTTGGCTCACAGCTAAAGATTTCTCCACTGCACTTCCTGAAATAATTAATAAAAAGTACTCTTTAGATTATGCTCACTAGCAACCAAAAAAACCCCCACCTATATATATAAAAGGCTAAGTGACCGACTGTCCGACTGACTAGCTGGTACATATGATGTGCACTGGCAATCCTATATAATAAAAAGCTAATATGCAAATTGACTGAATGGCAGATGACTGGTCGCTATGATGCGCACTGACCACCAGGGGGGCAGACACTCAATGCAGGAGCTGCCCCCTGGTGGTCAGTGTGCTCCCACAGGGGGAGCTCTGCTCAGCCAGAAGCCAGGCTCACAGCTGGCAAGAGCAGTGGCGTTGGCGGGAGCTTCTCCTGCCTCCACGGCAGTGCTAAGGATGTCCCGTGGGGAGCGGGCCTAAGCCATCAGTCAGACATTCCCTGAGGGTTCCTGGACTGCGAGAGGGTACAGGCTGGGCTGAGGGACTCCGAGTGCACGAATTTTCGTGCACTGGGCCTCTAGTTGACTCGTGCATGTGCGATACATATAAAGCTCTCGCTGGCAGCAATCCAGACAGAATAGGAATACTCCTACCTGAACCCATTTTGGGACATGGTCAGTTATATGTTGCTTTCGCTTGAGTTTGAAGAGCGTGTGACATTAAAGTTGTAAATACTTCATCACAAGGGAAATTAGTCAGGTACTCTGAAAGTGTTTTTACTCTTAATGTGGTACACAGGGAGATATTAGAATAAGTTTAATCAATTTATTAGTCACTGTTTTTATCAATATTGTTTTTATATCATGTTTTTGTTGTTTTTATATGTCTTTGTTGTTATATCATGTTGCTATTTATTAATCAATTTATACATTATTTTCATATACATTTTACTAATTTCCTCTCATCTCTGACACTTCTATTATAGAGAAAGGGCGAATAGCAATATTAAAATATTTCTTCTAATTAATTTCCTTTAAATGTGCACGAATCTCTGCATCTGGCCACTAGTATATATACAATTGATACTCAATAACGGAGAATTCAAAGCAAAAAATGCATTTTATAATTTTTATTCTATTCTACTCATGCAGCCTCCTTATCTTAATCTATATTAACTCCAGCTTATTTTAGCTTTCATTTCTTACAAAGGATTTAAGTCCCTAAGGAGACAAGTCCAAAATTAATGAATCATACCATGGCACTCTTTCTTGTTTGTGGTCAACTTTCTAGATAATGTTTTAAATATTAGTTTTCATAAGCCCTTCAACCTCTTAAGGTCCTTATCTATATTTTTCTTTTCATTCTTCCTCTAAATTGTTTTTGTTTCTATTAGACAGTCTACTCAGTATTCCCAATGTGAGTAAAAACCTTGGTTCATTTGAGGAAGTTTGCTTAACCAGGGAATCAATGTGCTCACTTAAATATTAAATTTAGTTTCCTAGCAATGCTTACTTGAGAAAAAATATATTTGAGATTTTTATACACATAAGAATCATATAAGAATTGTTTTTAAAAGTCTTATTTTTTCTCCAATAAAGAAATATACCAAAGCCAGGAAAGAGTTCTAAATGTCCAGTAACACAAACAGCCAAAAAAATTTTTTTTCATTCATATATTTTTTGTTTATATTTCAGTTAGGAGCTGAAAAAGAGCTTTGAAAGGGGTTGCCACAGAATTCAGGGTGTAGAGAACATCAATAAAATGTGAAGGAAAGTATTATGAATGCTGTAAAGAACAAATTGTGGAAATGACCCAGAAAGAATGAAGAAAAGTAGTAAGAAATAATGTTAACAATATCCAAAAGATCAGTTAATAAGAAGCCAGAATATATGATTGTGATTTAAAAATCTTGGGATTTTAATTTTGTCTGACAGGACTTTTCTCTTTAGTTTACTGGAACCAGAAGCCACAGTTAAATGACAGGCCTCCCATCCTGTTCATAAAAACTAGCTCTTTTACTAATTTACAACAGAAAAAACAGTATACCTTATGAAATATCCCACAGAAGTTACATTTTTTGGCTTAAACTGAGCCTTTATTAAAATTCACACTTAAGAAGAAAAACGTATAAAAGTAATAAAGAACTGTGTTTTATACTGCTGTATAGATTTTTTTAAAACTACAGTTCAACATTAAAGACAAAAAATGGAATGTTTAATGCATGTATTTTCACTGGTAATTGAAGTTTTCTGAAGATGAAGACCATATGTTCAACGTATTTTTAAAATCTTCAGTTTTAATTGCTTTGCTGATAAACATTCAGCTAGGAAACCTTACAATAAATGAAGCATTTTAAAATTTTTCAAAAGTCGATAGTAAACAATATAATCAGTACAAAAGTATCTTTCTAGTTCCTGAAAGAACTTTCTTTCATATCATATATCATAGATTTTTACTTCTGGAGTAATTTATTTCATGTAAAAATTTAATTCCATTGATATGAATGTGAAAGTTATACAAAATAAAATTTTATAGAAACTATCTAATTTCAGTATTCAAAATCTGTCCAAAATAAAACTTGACAGAAATTAATCTCATTCTTCCAAAACTATCCAAATCAATGTATTCACATTATAATGCGTTGCATTTTCATTTTTAAATATGGACTACCAAGTCACAAGTGGAATGAACTATCTTACAAATTCTTGCAGCATAGCATTTGTTGAACTTGACTTACCTTCCCCAAATTCGTTTAAAATAACTGCAACTCTTTTACTGTGTTGCTCTGTCAAAATATAGTTCAGAAGTGTTGTCTTCCCAGCACCTATAAAATACATTTTGTAGATCTTATAAAATAACAAAATTTAAAGATACAAAAAGATAGAGTCACAATGGTTTTAAAAATATTATTTAATCAAGTTTATTCCAGAGGAAGATTAAAGTACCCTTTGAAAAGTATTAAAATGTTTTGTTGACATAACATTTTATAAATACTCCTGTAAGTTGGATCAAACAGATTTCTTCAATCTCATTATGACAAAAATAATATGCCTTCTATATAATTTATAATACAATTAATACAAGAGCTTTAAAACTTTCTATTAAATAAAAAAATATTGAACTAATGGCTTCCAAAGAATAAAGTACTCATGTAGTTTATATAATATTTAAATCCTTTTGCATGATGATAATGTTTCTTAGCCAAGAATATATGATTTTATTCCCTAAAACTTACATATAAAGACCTTTTATTTCAACATCCATCATTAACCAGACACCAATTCAAACTGACTATATGTCTACTTTTAGTATGCTTAAAGCAACCTATAAAATTGATTTTATATATATGCATCACACACACAAAATAAAGACTGGATGTAGGAAATAACAAAAGACAGAATATTCAGTCTTTAGAAAGATAAACTCATAAAGCTACACTAACTTTATCCAGTAGGTGGCATATTAAACCTAATATGTTCAGCTGAAGTAGAAGAAAAACATTTGTCTCGTGAGCCATAGACAGAAAAGTTCATAGAGAGGAAAAAAGAAGTCCCAACTGCACAGTACTGTATTTCAATTGTATAAATATATCATTTATTTATCTATTTTTCTGTTGGTGGACATTCAATTGTTTCCAGTGTTTTGTTATTACAAGCACTTGTACATATCTTCTGAAGTGGATTTGCAAGATTTCTAGGAATTTACTGAGTATCAGGGTATTAATATCTTCAACATTTCTAGGTCGTATTGCTTTAAAAACTGTTGAAGGATGGAAGGCTTGTGTTTAGAGTGCTCTATGTAGGAAGCTCAACGTCACTGAAGTGTGAAGTATAGAATGGAAGGGACATACCTTGAGGAGGCAGGGACATGAGGAAATTCTTAAAGCCAGTCCAAGTGTAAGAAAGAGGCCCTGGACATGAGTGCTGCACTAGGTAGTGGCAGTGAAAATGGAAAGGAAGGGGAGGTTGTAAGAGATCTTATAAAATTACAAAGGCTTAATAATTAACTATATTATGAAGCAAAAGACTTTAACATGTAGTTCATTCAAAAGCTACTATGGATCAGATTTTATGCTGGACCTTGGTGAAAAGAGCACAAGACAGAGATAAACTGTCTCTACCTTCATGCCGCTTAAAGGCATTAACTAGTATAGGAAGGGCAATTCAGATCAATAAAGAGGCAATTATGTCACAGGATGCTATTTAATAGATGTATAAGATGTTCTGGAGCACCTAAGAGGACATCTAGCCAGAAGAATAAGAGTAAGAAGAATATACAAGGGCCTAACTGGTGTGGCTCAGTGGTTGAGCATTGACCTATGAACCTGGAGGTCACCGTTCGATTCCTGGTCAGGGCACATGCCTGGGTTGCAGGCTCGATTCCTGGTGTGGAGCAGGCAGGAGGCAGCTGATCAATGATTCTCTCTCATCATTGCTGTTTCTCTCTCTCTCCCCCTCTCCCTTCCTCTCTGAAATCAATAAAAATATATTAAAAAGAAAAAAAGAAGAATATACAAGGGTTGAAGTTCCTGGTACCATTTAGAAGTAGGTCAATGTTGGGTCACAGTTTTGCAGGCTGGAGAGCTTGTCAAGAGCCAGACCATATAGGACCTTGTAATTCACGTTAAGGAATTTGAACTTTAACCCAAATGGAAACCACATAAGGGTGTGACACAGTCAGATTGATGTTAATAAAGACCACTAAGGCTAAAATACACGGAATATATTAAAAGGGCATCAGGACTCAAGACTAGTCAGGAAGTTTTTAGGTGGTTGGGATCACAGGAGCAAAAGGATTTGAGGTGGATGATAACATGAAGTCTTGGATATTCTGAGTTTGAAATGTCTGTGGAACATCAAAATAGAAACTATCTGGGTATGAAGCTCAAAGAATGGACAGAGGAGGGGAAATTTTTAAAGGAGAAACCAGAGAAGTAGGTGGAAATATTGGAAGAAAAATGTGATGGAAGCAGAAGGAACAATGTTTCAAGAAATAGAAAATGATGATCAAGAATAAGCAGTGAGACTATAGCCTAGATTCAACAACAGGTTGCTGGCATGAGCCTCATTCCTAAGTTTCAGACCATTATCTCCAATGCTCTGCTGACCTACCAGTATGCAAAATGAAGAAGGCCAGAGGGGCAAGTCAAACTGTACTGTTTTGGACAAGGAATTTGTTCCATTTCACAGAAGAGCAATCTCTGAATAACATTGGAAAAATACCAAAAATAAACTCCATTATAAAATTAGTCCTGAGTAAAAACAGAAATAAGCTTATAGTCTACAAAACAAACAAAAAGAAACACCAGTGATTTAATATTTTTTATGTAAAAGGTCCTCAGGTGCACCAAGTTTGTGCTGGTCTCTAGTAGCATCTAGGAATGGTATTATTTCCCCAAATCATTTCACTTTTTTTACATTTCCCCACACTTTTAATAGGGTCATGTATTTATTCTAGCCCTTCTATTTAACTGTAAGGCTTTCAAATAATACTTTTCAAACTTTTCCAATTAAGTACCTCTAGTGTAAGCGCATCAACTGTCCTTCAGGGAAATGTAGCATGTTTACAAACCTGTGAATGCAAGTATCCCAGTGCGTTCTTGGACGACCTCAGTTTAAAGACATACAATCTGCTTCCGGTCATCGGTAAATGTGGCACTCACATCCTCCCACAGCCACATCGAAGTTACAACTACACTACACAACAACCAGCAGTCAGAGCCTCCTGAAACGGAGCTGAATGGAAGTCCTAAAACTTCCCTAACATGGTGAAGGAAACAGACACACAAGTTCAGGAAGCGCAGAGTCCCAAACAAGACCCGAGGCCCACACCAAGACACATCACAATTAAAAGGCAAAAGGTTAAAGACAAAGAGAGACTCTTAAAAGCAACAAGAAACAAGCGGTTACCTACAAAGGAGGCCCCACACGACTGCTGATTTCTCATCAGAAACTCTGCAGGCCAGAAGGAATCGACAAGAAATAGTTAAAGTGACGAAAAGCATGAACCTCTAACAAAGATTACTCTACCGGGCAAAGCTATCGTTCAGAATCAAGGGACATACAATGAGCTTCCCGGTCAAGAAAAAAGCCAAAGAAGTACATCACTGCCAACCCAATGTTACATGAAATGTTAAAGGGTCTTTTTTAAGAAGAAGGAAAAAAACAAACAATATGAACAATAAAATGGCAATACATACATTATACCTATCAACAATTGAATCTAAAAAAAAACAACAAAATTAAGGAACAAACAGAACAAAAACAGACTCATAGATAGAGATGGGTGCTGGCAGGATGGGTGGAAAGGGTGAAGGGAGTTAGAAGTAGAAATCGGTGGTTACAGAATAGTCATGAGGATTAACAGGGGCTACAGTCAGTCATATCCTGATAACGGGGTATGGTGTCAGCTGGGAGGATCACTTAGTAAGGTCTCTAATGTCTAATCACTGGGGTGCACACCTGAAACATAATATTGTGTGTCAACTGTTAATTGGAAAATAAAAATAAACTATTAAAAAGCAAAAAAAAAAAAAAAAGTCTTGGAGGGCAGAGCTTTTATTCTTACCCTTTCTCCTACAGTGCTTTGAAAACAGATCTCAAACAAACGAAAAATAAAAGTTTGAGAGAGGTGGTATGTCCAGGAATGGCTGGGGAAGGGCTGGAGGGGAAGGGGAATTGACTAGGCTCGCCCCTTGTGTGGAGCATTTTACCGGCAGGGCATCCTTTAATGGCCATAAACTTACAAGATACGTATTTCCGGCCCCATTTTGCAAAGGAGAAACTCAGACAGGTGACCGGTATGGTTTGCATTTTCAAATGAGGTAGATAAGCTTCAGAAAGGTAATTGTTAAAGGTCACGGGCGTGGTTTGGGGGCGGGTCCGGGCTTCAGACCGCAAAACCAGAGCTAGTTTCAAAATGCGAGGTTAATGTTGAGTCTCACACGGTAAGTGTGAATCAGGGAGCCAGTGGCCCAGCCCGTACCTCCGGAGGCACTTGCTGCTGGCCGGTGGCCGGAATGCCTAAAATCTGTGAGCCCCCCTGAATCCCAAGATACACGGGCTCTCTGACCGGGATGGTTAGTTACCTAAATACCCGGTGATAATTGTGACTGGGATCTTAGCGCCGGGGCCAGACTTTTCCTCCTGCTCGCTTTGCTTCGCCTCAATGGGGACCAGTTCAGGACAGTCCTCCGCCAGCTCCTCGTCCTCGTCCACAGCGCCGAAGGCCTGTGACATCTCGGCCGGCCGACAGCACGGACCCCTCTCCCTCAGCTCGAGAGCCGGGAGTAACCCGGCGAACGGCGGCTGCTCACGCCGGGCACGCCACGCCTGGCGCGGTGTTGACGTCATCACGTCGCGACGCCAGGCTCCTCCGAGTCCCGCCCCTTTTACCTGGGCTCGCGCTGAGGGCCGCCCAGCGCCTTAGACACGCCCCCAGGGTGTTCCCGGAAGCTGAGCGCGGTGGGCGGGGCTGTCAGGTTCGTAGAGGAGCCCAGCTCCGACCCGCCCCGCGTGCGCCGCCGCCTGCGCTTCAATAGCTAATGGCTGATGGGGGCTGAGGCCAGGCTGGTCGGAACCCGGAGTGGGTAGCCTGACCTAAACAGCTCCCACAGGGCATAGACTTTACCAACTTGACATTAAGTGATTTTTTTAGTATAATTTAAAAAATTTTTTTGATTCATAAGGAAAGGAATGGAAAGTTATAACAACACAATGTTAATTATAATATTTATACCTGACGAAATAACCAGTGAAACCTTTTTCTCTTTTATAATTACATATATTATATGTATATCCAAATTTTTACAATGTACGCACATTACTTTCATTGTTCTTTGTCACTATTTGTTTGAATCTTAGGTAACCTGAGTTCATTTTCTATGTTCTTTCGTTCATGACACTCAGCATTAATCCATGGATAGCCCTCCTTTATATTAATACATAGAGTGTCCCCCCCAAAATGTATACACACTTTAACAGCCGATAGCTCAATTTTGAAAATGAAATGTATTTTAATAAGCATGGCCTCTATAATTATTCAAAGTGTGTGTGTACATTTTTGGGGACACCCTATATTTGTAATGAACTCCTTTGCCCTCACCCCTAAACCAAGAACATTACCAATAAGTTACAATGACCTATATGCCCCTCTCCTTTCCAACCCTTGGCCTCCCCCTTAAGGTAGTAAAAACAATCACGAATTGATTATGGGTAATTCATTATTTCCTCTTTTCTTTTTAGTTTTATCATATATATCAAATATATTTAGTTTTATCACATATGTATTTATCATATGTATTTAGTTTTATAATATATATTTAAAATATACATTTTGTGTTAAGACAAAATTAACATATTTTCTAAGTATATATATATATTGTTTAATTTTGTCTTTGAACTTTGTGAAAAGAGTGTCATACAAAATATAAACTCCTGGGGTTAGCTATATTTTTCAACTTCAACATTATATTATATTCTACAATATTATATAACTATACAGCAATTTATTTTTATTTTTTGTTAAGTTTGTAAGGTCTATTAAATGGGTGGGTGGAAAGGAAAGTGATGAGCAGCTACAAACACAGAAGAAAAAGTCTCGGTTATTAAAGTCATTCCAGGCATGGCAGAGGGACGTGGGGCTGGCTCTAAGAGTACTGCTGTCAAGACACAGAGCTGGTTGAAGTGGACCCCAAGCTTTCCCTGTGACCTCTTGTGCAGAGTGAACAGTTTATCCATTTCTTGTCAACTGTTTCCAGGTTTTGCTCCATGAACAGCATTCAGTGATCCTTCAGCACTGTGTGACTCCCTGAACAGAAGCTGACCACCTTCTCTTACTTAGATATTTCTCAGGCACATTCTTGCAGATTCCCTTTCATGGCTCCAGCTGAATGTCCTATTAACATCTCTTATCTCTCAACAAGAGGAACCCGTGCCCCATAAGGCCAGCTCAGTCAAGGTGACAGGCAAATATTGCTGTAACAGTATATAGCCTCAGTCAGAGCAAAAAGTTTTACCCAGTGGTCACACATTAAAGGCACCCCAATTGTCCATCCCACGATGAATGGATAAACAAAATGTGATATATACATACAATGGAAAATTATCTCATAATAAACATTCATAAAGTGCTAATATCTGCTACAAGATGAGTGAAACTCAAAAGCATTATGGTGAGTGAAAGAAAGCATTCACACACCACATATTGTATGATTCCATTTATATGAAATGTCCAGAATAGGCAAATATATAGAAATAAAAAATAGATTCGTTATTACCAGGAACTGGGGGACTGAGGAAGGTGACTGCTAATGGGTACATTTTGGGGGTACTGAATATGCTCTAAAATTGATTGTGATGATGGTAACACAACTCTGAATGTACTAAAAACCAGTGAATTGTATACCTTAAGCAGGTGTATAATATGGTCTATGAATTTTATCCGAATAAATCTGCTATTTTTAAAAAAAGTTAAAGGCCTGTCTGTGCATCAAATTGTGGTTGTGCCTGTGTAAATTTGCAGAGATGCACTGCTTCAGGTCCTGCCCTCAGAAGTTGTAAGTCCTGGCCTTCTGAGCAGAGTTGATTTAGAATCTATTTGTGGTGACTGCCCAGTTGAACAATGGCCAGTTGAACCATACCTAAGTACGAGTATAAAGATTACAGCTTAATACAATCTTTCCTTTCATCTGTTCCATAATACTCCTCATCAAGTTATTTATGAATTTTGTGGAATTCTGTGATTTTCTTTGCTGACTCTAGTAATTGGACAGAATTTAGCAAGCATGTGACTGAGGAAGCGAGGGTTAGGATTTATTCAGATACATGGCTTGCAATCTCAACTTTCTCTTCACCCTGGGTATGACTGTTTTTACTTCTTTGTTAACACGGGACTTACTAATTTTATCCATTTTATTTTGCATGAGCCTTTGTTGTTGTTATTTAATCCAAAATGCCTTTTAAAATAAGTTTTAAAATTTCCCAAGTATAATAGTGTAGAATCTATTACAGTTTCTAATATAACTTTAAAATTCCCCTAGTTTTGCAATTTTGCTTACTCTCAGTTGCTTTATGATAAAACAACAACAATAATAATAAGGTGTGGATTGCTTACCATCTGATAGGCATTGTATTAAGCAAATGAAATGCATTATCTTATTTAACTCTGCAACTTGAACATTGTTTGTATGCCCATTTTAAAGACAAGGAAACTGAGGCCTAAATCCTTACCACTGCAACAAAGACTTTGCTCAAGGTCATAGAATCAGTAAATGGCAGCTTTGGAGATCAATCCAGGCCTTCCAGACACTAAATTCCATGCTCTTCTAAACCAGGGATCTGCAAACTTTTTCCGTAAAGGGTCAAGTAGTAAATATTTTAGGCTTTACACATCAATAGATAAATTCGAGGGTATTATGTAGGCACTTATACAATAAGAGAGAAAACAAATTTCCACAAACTTTGAAATTTGAATTGACTATAATTTTCATTTGTAATGAAAGATCATTCTTTTAATTTTTTTCCAACCTATTAAAAACGTAAAAATAAAAAAGGTAAAAATCATTGTTAGCTTGCAGAGTGTGCGAAAAGAGGCAGTAGTATGCCAACTACTGATCTAAGCTAATAGACACTGCCTCGTGAAGCTGAGTAAAATGAAATTTTGCAAAATAAGTCATCCTTGCTATTTTAAACTTAATTGGTTAAATCATTCACCATTGCAGCAACCCCCTGCCCTTAAAGGGTTAGGTACCAGAGTCACCATCATATTAGTAATTTGGAGGAAGGTTTGAAGCTGAAAGCTTACTAGTATACTATTTCTCCAAGGGCACTGATGCCTGGCCTTGGAGAGACCTGATTTAGGCAGCACTGGAGTTTCTGTGCTGCGGTAGGAGCCCCTCCTGCACTGGAGCAGAGCAGAGCCAGGAAGCCCTCAAGCTATCTGGATTCCTTCAGCTCAGCTTCCTGCCAGTAACCCTGCCATTGTCCTTTGGCACAATTCCCTGTTCCTCCCCTTTGCCTCGTTTTCTTCCTTTGATTAGTTATGACAGTTGCCATGAGAAAAAGTGAGGACTGTCACTATATGTAAATCAGAGGAGAGCTAAAAATAATGCCAACTTGGTTTTGTTTTTTCTCTCTCAATTTTGCAACTTTCTGCAAACGAAAGAACACACTAGTGGCCAGCAACAGCTATTGCTTTAGAGAAAAGGAAACTGAGGGTTTCAAAATTAACTCAGTTCCTCTTATGTAGCTATACGTGATAAATAAATAAACAAAATAATTATCCAACGCTTAACACTAATAGATTAATTTGCTGTTTTTCATTACATGAACTTAGTGGGAACATCTATGAAAGGCCAGAGGCCAATGGCTTTTTGTGACTGCTTTAGTTATGCTAATATATCAATATTCAAGTATCATAGAGTCCTCTGCTAAGATATAAAGCCAGTGTAAAACCATGAAATAATATTTTTCCCCAGAATAGTGAAGGAGGCTGACAGGTGTGATACATACATTTCAGTGCTTTTCATTTCAAAGGTTGCCAGTAATATTATTTCAATTCATCAGTTTAAGCTGTTAAACCATGCTATTAATAAGGCTTAGCTCACAGTCCAGTCACTTATAATTTTTTTTTTTAAAAAGTGTTACCCAGTGGTCAAAAATTAAAGGCACCCAAATTGTCCATCTCACAATGAATGGACAAACAAAATGAGTAGCGTACTATTCACTCTAAAGTATACTATCAGGCAAGGAGTGGGCATTGAGCAAAACTAAAAAAAACAGTTGTGTAATGATTTATGTTGTAATAGTTTGGGGGACAATTTAAATAATATCCTCTTCTATTGTCAATAGAAATTTAAAAGTGACATTTGTGGCTTTATTTAAGTTTCTAATTTTTATAGTTTTTGAGAAGTGTAAGCTCAAGTCCACAGGCATCTGCTCATGATTTCTTCAGTGTAAATAAAAGACACAGAAACAAAAATGAAATATTTTCATTTTTCCTTCCTCTTACTATTCCTCCAAATCCCCTCAAAGAATGTTTAGTTGCATTTAACTGAAATGTGCTATCAACAAAGCCAGGTCTTCCTGGTTTCAAGACTCGTGTCTTTGAGGCCCATAGCTCTGTCTCTCAATTAGACACCACAGTTTCACTTATGGAGAAAGATTCATGAACTTTCTTTAGATTGATTTGCTTTCTTTCCTCTCATTATTTTAAAGTGTCCTTTCTGCCCTGGCATCTCAGTGTAGGCTGCTCCAGCAGATATGTGGAAGCCACACAGCCTCTTCCGGATCTCCACCTCAATGACACAATCTTTCCTTAGGGAACTTCCTTCACATCAATATCCTTCAGCATACCC